GCTCGCTCACGTCGGTCAATAGGTGCATAAATAGAGGCAATCACTCATTCTTCATCACCAAGTAATAACTTTGTCCAGGCCCATTGACCCTAGATATCGAAAGAAAAGTCGATAATTTCGCATTCCAATTGTCTATGCACTAAGATTGCTACACCTCCTTTAGAACCTACCGCGGGTGCCCAGATGTGTGGGCCGTCCCACCAGTTACCCACACTCGTAATCTTGTCTTTGCTTAATTTAGTCTCTTGAATACACATAATTTGAATATTCTTCTCAAATATCCATGATTTGAGTCTTTCCTTCTTGTTTCTTCCCGACGTGTCTCCCAACCCGCGCATGTTCCACGTAGCAATTCTTAGTCTAGACATTTCTACGATCCACCGCTCATACAGATTGGATGCGAGGGTTCGAAGGCGTCCCTCCTGAGGAAGAGTTTGACTGAGGGCTAGGGAGCCAAGGCTTCGTCAAAGCTGTGCGAAAGAACGGGGAGGTTAATTTATTCTCCCTAGGCAATTTGGCCTCAATTTCAATCATGAACTCTGCCATTGTATGGGTGGAACATTGATTCGACACAGTTCCGGTCGACAACCTTCAGCAAACCAATCGAGAGGTAGGAGACGGAGCCCCTCGGTTTCTAGCAGTTCTAGCTGACTGGGAGCAAAACGAACATCCAGAATGGGAGTAAAACAATTAATCTTCTTACCATTCCCATCTGGGACGTCAACCACCAGGCGAGGCATTAATTCATCAGCAACAAAATGGAATCAGATTTTGTCACTATGGAGGTGCGGATCAGGTTGAGGATAGACGGCAACATCGGTGATTTGGAGACGCGAGGATGTCAATAAATGGACGATCATCCATTCCGACCCATGCCACTACCCATATAGAGTTTCTTATGAAGGAGCACAGGAGAGTCAAGATACGACGCTCGATGTTATGAATTTTTCCTTTGGCTAGGAAGACTGGAATTCGGCATCTCGTGGTTTTAGTGCCCGGAGTACCTACCTCTCTGCATGGCCTTGTGATCCTTCTGAGTTGGGGACATAGTGATTGGATCCTTCTTCCTGAAGGGCGTTTGCCAACCCCGCAATTGAGTCAAAGCTCAACCTACGTTGCTTGCTGGTGTTGTTCCTCTTTTCGGAGGGCCCTGCGAATGAAGTTGCCACTGTCAGGATGCTCCCACTTCTGCTACGTGTAGCCTCCTGATGGGCGCCTTCCATAGCTGAGACCCCTGTCGCAATCGGTCCAAATCCAGGTGGTTGATTACTTTGGATTTCTTGTTCACAGCCCATACCCATGACGAGGTGGGGGGGAGGATGTGGCATCCCCATTCCCATCGAACCCTCACCTCTTAAAACATAAGAGGGGAGAGGTTGAAGAGGCTGGGGATTAGCGCTCTGATTACCAAGATACACCTGTGGCTGAGGGTTCCAGGGCATGAATGGGGGATGCACGATTGTTGATGTTGGAAGACGCCTGACTGTTGTTGCTGAAGTTATGGGCCACCGGCCGGATGAGGCGAAAAGCCTGGGTTAACTGTGCTGAAGTAAGGTTGGAAGCGAAGCGGAACTGGCTGAGATCCGTTTGTTGAAACTCCCGATGGAGAACCTCCTCCCGGAGGTCCCATCTGTCCTTGGTAAGGTGGCCTTGATGATGCTTCTTGCCCTCCACCTTGGTTTGGAGCTTGTTGCCCCGAATGTTGATTTCTTCTACATGTGTCGTCAGTGTGGAAGAACGCCCGACATCTACTGCAGCACGGCTTTTCCGAGGAAGCAAGTTTCACCTCCAGCTCATCGCCCTCAAAATTCTCCAGCCAAATTACATCCTTCATGTTGGATTTTGCCGCCAGGTCAATCTCAAATTTAATATTGACCAGGGAGGGCTTCAACCTATCCGGCTCCATGGTGTGAGGTCTGACCATTGGGCCAATTGCTTTTTGGACCTGTGCTTCCAGGAATAGCATCGCATTTAGCGGAACTTGGACAGCGATCACCCAGAAGGGATCTTCTTCTTGTCTCTGCTCCTTCAACTGCACCTTGGTCAACCAAGGCTTGAAGTCCAGCTTGTACGTAGTAGGGCCAAGTGTGAGTTTGTCGTGTCTTTTGTTTACCAACCATGTGGCGATAGCCCTATTTTTGGCAACATAGGATACAACGTTGCGGCTTTCCACCTTCACTCCTCCGAGCCTGTTTTTGCCGACCCTGAATTTCACTGCGCTCCGAGTTTTGCCGAGCCTGGGTACCACTTTGTTTTCTTTCTGGTACTCTCACGGAAAAAGAAGAAGAAAAGTTGCGGCCGTGAACCTCAAAAAATAATATAAAAAAAAGGAAACAAAGCTTTGGCCGTGATTGCAGTTGTATACATTCTTGGAAGTGGTAGTGTGAGCGTGCCCTCAATGAGGGAATCTCAGCCCCGTGGCCAGGTTGTCAGATTCCAAAAAGAGAATAAAAGGGGGAAAAAACGGGCACATGGATCCGACCGTGAAAATGGATGGCTACATTCCCCTAAGTGCTAGTGTGATGAGCCGTACAATCCTCTGACAAAACACAGCTTGAGCAGATCACAGAAAGCTTGAGCAATTCACGGACAGGGGACTCATAAGAAACACACGACCAACAAAAAAAAGAAAACAGTAACATTCATAATGTGACCGCCTTACCTCTAAGGTGCATTCTGTGGAGGAAGATTGTGAGCACGGCCTCCTGGACTACCCAGCCCGACATCATTGCAGTTGGGTCCAGCATTTTTTTTCCCCCTTTTTCCGTCACTATAAAATTCAGATTTATGGGACATTGCCGACCCTGTGTCCCACCCTGAAAAGTTCGGGTACTGGCCAAGACATCGTATTTTCTTAACACTGGCGAAGGTACTGGTGGTTTAAAGCCCTCTGTCTCGAAACTTCCTTCCTGCACCTTGCTGTCTTCATACGCCCTCACAACGTCGTCCTTTACCTTTTTAGGTAAAAAGCACGCCCCCTCGTGGAAGATGATGGTTACGGTGTGTTCCTTGAGCCACGCCACTTTGGCGTGATCGATGACGATATTTACCTTCAATCTTGCTTCCCTTCCTTGAACCGTCATTTCCCTGGGATGAATGTCCGGTGAATGACCCCCTCTTCGTAGCACAGTCTAATTAGCTCTCTCACTCGCTCGTCTTTGTCCTGCTGGCCTCCCGGATCGCGGGCGTGAGCTCGCCTCTCTTTCGATTACTACTTCCTCTGCCATATCGCCCAGTTCCGTATTGGTAAGTTAAAAAACTGATAACCCTTCCACCAAAAGCAATACAACTTAGCCCCTTCTAGAGTTGTGCCAAGGATAAAGAGATAACCGGAGTTAACACTAGATCTATGGTGGGGAACTCCCAGATGCCCGCTGTGGCTACCAACGACTCCCTCCCAACTGTATGGAGTCGTCTCTTTGAACAAGACGAAGCAGGTGCGTAGCCCACACCTATTGTAGCGCTATCATGGCGGTAGCGCCTCTGGTCGAGCACAACTCCGTTATCGGTCTGCTAGCGCTTGGTCCGAGCGCCGCAGCGCCGGCGGAAGCGCCCCTGTCTTTCCACCTGGAACGAAATATTGGCCTGTTGAAGAAGTGAATCATGAAAAGGGAAAAAAAAAGCCCTGGTAAGACGCCGTGTGTGGAGCGCCCGACACGACAGTGGAAACAGCCAAATAGCGCATTTGGTCCTGCCTAGGCCTTGGCAGTTCCCACACTGTTTGTGCCAACACTTGTGGCGGTGTCTAGCGTGGGAGCCTCATGCGAGACCCGTCTTAACTTTATAAGGAGTACAGCAAATTAATGAATAAACAAGCATCATGTTCGCGTATACCCCCTTACTGCCATCACACACCTACCACTCTGCCTCTCCCTTCTCATCCTGCCATAGTCACACACTCGGATCACGCTGGGGCCTTCCTGATGCAGCGCACCAACCAAGGAAATGGAGATGGAGGTCTACCATAGCCAAAGGGGAGTCTCTCATGTCAGCTCCTCTCTCTCTCTCCGCTTCTCATCCTCAACGCCCTTCTACTACCCTTCTCCATGGCCTGGCATGAGAGGCTTCACCTCCAGCTCCACCGCCCAGCAGGAGCTCCGCCTACCTTCACCCCGTGGGTAGTGCAGCAGCATGACCGCCGGGTAATGTGTCACCTCTCTCATTGTACCCGAACGATATACTCTTGCCACTCGCTCTTCGGCCTCCCGTGGCCGTCGCACTTCTGCCTCTTCCTGTGTGCAAGGCCCACCGGATGTTCCTCTCTGTTGGCGGGGACATTATTGCAGCCTGCATTCCTGCTTCAGAGCCTAAATCTGACCTACCCGCTATCTCGGTACGGGCCCTGACTACTGATAACCTTTTTTTCGGAAGCGACTGGGTCCTTCTAAAGCCTGCCAAACCTCAGTTGGGCTTACCCGAATCAAATGGAAAATCCCTATCGGGTGCTAGCCAAATTCTACTTGTGTCCGTGTCCGTCCTGGCCTTTCTTGAAGTCTGTCCGGTGTCCAATGTCAGTCCTATCCCTGGTGATCCCTATTTCACAAACTACCCCTTTACCGGGACACAAAAAACACAGGTTGAGCATGCACTTAGTACTCTTAATAGCAATCATCACATAGACACATGCAAGCAAACAGCAATTCAGCAAATCAAACCACCAAGCAGCAATACTCGGAAAACTGCATAAACCTCAGACTGATTCTGTGCTGGTCATTGCACTAACAAGGAACGCTCAAGTGTGTAAATCCTGCTCCACAGAATTGGTTGGTGCTGGTGAACAATCATCTCTGCCATTTTGACCATCATTGCCCCTGCGCTTGCACCCGCCCACATGTCCGGAGCATATTGCAGACTTGAACCTGGTAAGTGGAGATGAAGTGCGAGCCATGGCAGGGAACGAGTCCTCTCAAGCAATTCCATACTCTTCGCGGTTGACAAAGCCTCGTTTGCCAATTTCGCAAGCCTTGTGTGCTCCCTCTGTTTGCCTATCCATTGAGCAGGACGAAGCCATGCCTGTGACTCTGCTGTTGGCAGAATCTGCGCCGTCTGTGGCCCCGCCAACTCCCGCCTCGGTGTCGATGGGCCTTGCTGCTGGGGAACCTGTACATCCTCTCCAGTGGGAATCATCTCGTTCTATCCCTGCTGACGCTTTTGCTGCAGCAGCGAGGGCTGCCTCTTCCCGAATTGCGCGATTGCAAAGTCAGGGTGGTGTTCTGTCACGTTCCTCGTCAGCTGGATCCAATTCTCCGTTGGGCCTAGGGTGTAGGGAATCACCTCCTGAACTGCTGCCCCGTGCTGGGGTGTTGTCGAGGGAAGACACTCATGGAGGGTTCTGCACGTCGAAGGCAGAGCCTGATATTACCTGGAAGTGTGATGGGTACGCCCTCAGATATCAGTCTGCTGATCCTTTTGTATTATCTTCAACAAGCCAACAGCGATCACCATCACCATCACTCCCATCTCGACTACACCAGTCGCCTCTTCATGAACGCTCGGCAGGCTGTTGTCACTCTGCACAGCCCTTGGCAGGAGCTCTGACGTTTGAAGGACGTCGTGATACTGTGGGATGGAGGTTGCCAAGTTCAGAATTGGTCCGAGAACCTTGCAATTTGCCTACGTCCTGGTTAGAATCAGGGGGCTATGGCGCCCAGGTGAATGAAAGGCGTCAAACAAGCAGCTTTCCAGCTAGCAGCTTTCCTTCTAGCAGTTTTCCAACTAGCAGCTTTCCAGCTAGCAGCTGTGAAAGGCATTGCTGTCGTGTGGATCAATCACCTTCAAGAAGGTGGAGAACCTCGCGGATACCTGCATCTCAGTGGTGCACTGACTGTGGGGAGTTACCCCCACTGTCGAAGGCCAAGTTTGGTCGTGAGGAGTCTTCCCTCTGTTTTGCAATGGAAGACTTGACATCTCCACAGGCATCGGCCCCTTGTATTCCAAGTGAATCACCTATCGGTGAATGCGAACTTGTTCCATTGTCAGTGTCCGAACTTGCTTGTGATCCAAGTTTTGATGGGACCTCGGTCGATAGTGATATGGAGCGCCAGTTGGAGAGAAACACACCTCCTGAACAACAAGGAGATGAGGGATCTCAGGAAGTGGGAAACGGGGAATCACGCAGAGAGGAGTTAGCACCGTCGTCCTTCCAGTCCTCGTTGGCAATAACAGATGACAGACATGAGATGACCATTGAAGGACAATCCCTGTGGGGGGAAACCGAGGCAGCTCTGCCTGAAAAGGCTGCTGGTAGGAATGATAAAATGGAGCATAGCGACTTCAGATTGGCTGTCAACAGGAGCGCCGATGAGTGTGGAGGAGTGGCAGATACATGTTCTTCTGAAAAGGAAGGAGGTGTGGAGGTTGCACATTGTGCAGATGATGCCAGAGAGTATGGAGGGAGTGCTTGTCAGAGTTCTCATCGTCCCAGCGACATTCTAGGGGATGTCGAGAGCACTGGTGGAACTCAAGAAGAATGCCAAGGAGGTGTGAGAGAGAGATATGCACCATTATCTTCCGATGAAGAAGAAGTCGGGGTTGACAATGCATGTGAAAGTGTGGAGTATGCCACCACAAGTTCTGGCTCCGAGGGTGGCCGATATGCGGAGGATGCTGCTAATTGTGCATTCCCACCTGATCAGCCGGATCGAGTTGGTGTATCATCCACCTCCTGTGGGCATGTCACCTGTGAAGCAAATCGGTCGCATCTTTTGGACTGTTCATGCGTGCAACAGGACGCTCAAGGTTGTGGAGAGGAGCAGCAACGCAGGTCTCAGCGCGGCCTTTTCTACGGTGGAGAGTTGGATGAACCTTTTTCACCATATGTTCAGGAGAGTACAGTGCTGTTGGGAATCTCTGGTTCATCGCCAGTGCCGCCTGGAGTGCTATCAGATAACTGGGCACCTCCTCAGGTTGATGAAGGAAAGCCTCCCTTAGTTTCAACTTCTCAATTGGCTTGTGACGATGGAGAAGTGGATGTGTCCTTGCCGTCCTCACCTACATTGCAAGTCAGGGAGATTCAGTGGCACTCTCCTTGGCCTGATGGCAAACAACCTGCTTCGCGAGTTGTCCATGGTTCAGCATCCCCATCTGTACAACCCGCAGCATCCACCACTCCTCCTGTGGACATTCCTGAAATACAAGTACCAGTTCCCCTCCATGGTTCCTCCACATTATCAGCATATCAAGAGGATGAGGGAACGGGCTCTGCGAGGCGTGATTCACAGGAAGAGGCGGATTCTTCTGCAGTTTGTTCGCGCGGACCTGATGGGAAAGATGACAGAAATGTCTCTCTGTTGCTTGATTCATTGGAAGAGACGAGTTCCTTTGAGGCACAGGGATCTACTGTGAATGGTGTATGGTCCCCTCAGGGATCTACTGTGAACGGTGTATGGTCTCCTCGTTTGTCAGAAACAAGTCCTGAAAGAGGTGGAAAAGCACAATTGGAACCCCTATCAAGAAACCTTCTTCTGCCTGATGTATCACCGGCTTTTGCTTACGGGACAGGATCACAGCCGTCAGGATCTTCTTTCCCATGCTTGGAAGCTCAGGATTCACAAACACTGGAAGAACAGCTTGGGGAATTGGATGGAGGCGAGCTTCTTGAATTTTTTGCAAGCAGTTCCCCCAGGGAAACGCCATCGAGATGTGATGATTCGCCGTTGGCTTCTATTCACGGTTCTGACAATCCAAGCCTAATGGGTCTCCCAAAGAAGGCTGAACAGCCTGAACGGTTGGAAAGTGGCAAATCTAGTCCACGATCGCGCCTGGCATCGGGCTCATCATGGACAGATATTGTATCTGAGATTCGTGATTTCGAGGCAATGAGGTCTCCTAAGGATGCAGCTAGCGATGGCAGCCAGCTTTTGGGTGGTGGATTCCCTCTGCTTTTTCCTCAGTTCAACTTAGGAAAGAACAGGAGGAGAGTTTGGATGTTTGACGATGAGGATGTTGAAAAGACTGAGTCTCGACACACGAGTCCAAAAAGCAGTGCTAGTGCTATTTGCCTCACATCTGGAGGAAACGATGTTGACATGGATATTATGACAGCGCCACTCCCCATCTCAGTAATGAGCGATGCGAGTGCAATCACGGAGAACTCCATCCCTGCAAGTCTGCCATCACTTGTAAAGGCCAGCAATATTCAGCGCAGAACGATCTCTATTCTTTCAGAGAATCCCTTTCGAGCAGAATCTGGCCGCATCTCAGTGCAGTTCTCAGCTCCAAGACCAAGTGAAGCTGGATCTGTTGCCTCCCGAATGGAGTCGGAAGCAGGAGCTGCTGAGGGGGCTGAGGAGAAGGGGAAAGTGCAGCTGATTCCGTCAACTGCAGAGAAGAGGGGGGAGGCAAAGAGGACTGAGCAGGGTGCTAGGAAAGCGAAAGAGAGGGGACAAAAAAATGGGAAAGTGGGGAAGAAAGAGAGAGAAAGGATGGAATGCGCAGAGAAGGAAGGGCTACAGAAGCTGAGGACGAAGCAAGAAAAGTTGGTAGTGAGGGGGAGAGCGAACCAAGGAAAGAAAATGCTTAGTGGAGAAGACAAGGACGAAAGTTCATCGATTCTCTCTGAGAGAAGCGAATCACAAACTACAATGGCATCGCAGTCTACAACAGCCGTGACTTCACAACGTACTTCAGAAACAGAGTCAGAAGGAACTCTAATAATTCCCATAATCGCGAAAGGTTTGAAGGTTAGCAGTGACAGCTGTTGGGAGGTGGATCATGCATCGAGTGAGGCTGCAAGAAAGCATCAAAACCGACCTATGGGAGAATGGATGAAACATACAATCGGTGCATTCTCGCGCTCAGTCAATGAGAAAGGTGTCCATGCAGCAAAGGCAGCTGCTGCCAAAGCAGCAAAGGTGTGCAAGATGGTTGTAACTCGGAAGCCAAGTGGACTGTCACTGAAGGAGCTGCGAATACATATGGTGATTGGACAAGGAGCCTTTGGAGTCGTCCATCTTTGTACGCAGAGAGGCCAGCCGAAGAAGTTGTTTGCGCTAAAGAGCATGGACAAACAGGATTTGATGAGGAGGAATGAGTTGGAGCATGTTATGTGTGAGAAAGAGGCTCTGTTGGCTCTACGGCACCCTTTTGTTGTCAACCTAGAACATCACTTCCAGGATCACATGCGTGTTTATTTCCTTATGGAGTTTGTCAGTGGTGGAGACCTGTTCAGCCGCTTGGAGGTTAATAGGAAGCTCACAGCAAGGGAGACAAGGTTCTATGCTGCTGAATTGCTTTGTGCATTGGAATTTATTCACAGCAAAGGTTTTATCTACCGGGATCTGAAGCCAGAGAATGTGATGATCGATGCCAGTGGTCATGTGAAGCTCACGGACTTGGGTTTTGCAAGGAAGCTTGCGTTGGGCGAGAGAAGTTTTACGTTTGTTGGGACACCTGACTACCTTGCACCAGAGATTATCCAAAACACAGGTCATGACAAAGCAGTTGATTTCTGGGCCCTTGGCGTTTTGATATTCGAACTTCAAATGGGCTATACACCCTTCCATGCAAACTCTCTTGCTGAACAGTACTCAAAGATCCTCACAGGTGATGTGCGATTCCCTCCCGGAACGGATTTCCTTCTCAAGGACCTCCTGTGCAGGCTGCTTCAGCCTGATCCCGCAAGGCGGCTCGGATCTCTTCCTGGTGGCGACGGTGCACGAAGTGTAATGAAGCATTCTTGGTTTGACTCCATTGATTGGACTTCCCTCAAGACCCTGCGAGCTGTGCCGCCCTTCATACCTCCAGCATATATGTACAACAAGCCAAAGAAATACCTCAATGCTGTCGATGTTTACCAGTGGCAGGGTGGTGGGAAGATGGGTGTAGCTCATGGTGGTGGTCATGCCACAGTCAACCCTCTTTCCAATCCAACATCTCTGTCGATGGATCAGCATCGATTCTTTGAAGCATTTTGAGGGGGGGTAACAACTATGCCAAGGCCTGCTTGACTTCATAGGGTGTTTGCCGACTTCTCTTTTTCCGAGGGTAACTGTTGGGACCTTTGGATGGTCATTTTTTAGCGGAGTCTGGACCGGCATCTGTAACTGGCATGGCCCGTTTTCGTGTTTTTTTATCTTTACAGTCTTACCATCCCTCAAAGCGGCATTCCTCCCCCCTGACCCCAACCCAGGGCTCCATCCTCTTTTCCCTTTTTTATTTACTATGTATTTTGTCCCCGTCCCAGTTCTTTGTGAGGCCTGCCTCCTTCTTTACTGTCCTTTCTGCTGCACGCTGTATATCCAATGAGCACGCATCGTCTTCGCAATCCGACTGTCTGATCAATATCCTCTTGTCAGTCTTTGTCCTTGCCAACCTTCGTGTCACAGTAGGGCAGCTTATGCCGGTTTCCTCTCTCTCCTTCTCGGATCAATTTTCTTCTTTGTCACATCACTATCGCTGTCCAGGCCTTTCTCCGCCTCCCACAGTCGCTTTCTGCTTACGTTTGTCACCTCTTCCCTCTGTTGCTTCCTCAATTCACTATCCCTCTCGTGCCTTGTACCGCTGCACTGTCCACCCTTTGGCTAACCCACTCGCTCTCTGCTTGCTTCCTCTGCCCAACCCCTCTGTCCCTTTCATGGATCACGATCCCTGTCTCGTGTCATGCATAGCTGTTCATACTGTTCCCTGCGCGCTTCTCTCGTTCCTTGCCCGTGTCTCATGCTGATCTGTGTATTATTCCCACAATGTTTCCCATCCATGCTCTCTCTCCCCGCCCCTATTGTCCATTCCCGCCTTACCTTCGGAATAATGGCGTACAAGTCTGATCTACATGTTCTGCACGAGGTCATGCCGGACTTCTGCTCTCAATTATGCCTTAGTATGCTGTTACTGGTTCTCTGGCTCCTTGCCATTCACTCAATATGATTGATTGGCCCATCTCAAAGACTCACCAGGTAGTGGATAAGAGTGATGACGGGCTTGGTATGCCATGGTCTTTTGGTATTTATTTAATTTTTTATTATGGTTAAGTTGCGCTTTCTTCCTCAGGCAGCTTTTAATCCCCTGATGATGGCCGTCTGCCGATGCAGCTGAAATGAGGCGTAGGGACGTCAGCTACGAAGATGATGTTTTATCGTGCTGATCATTTTTGAGTTTCCGGAACGGTGTTAATTTTATGGCGCTACCCGTCTCTCGTCTGTCGATTGTGAAATGACTTTTCTGCATCTCATTGGACTCCGGCCTTCTTCTTCTTCATCGTCGTCTTCCTCCTTTGAGCAGCATCCCTTCCCACCTTTGTATATGACTCTCCTCTGCTCTTCTGATGATTGCTCTTCTGTCTTCCTTTCCATGTTACTGGAACTTACGATTTCACGGGTGCATTTGCTGTGCTTTGTCGACTTCATAGGACTTAACGATCTCCCACAGCGCTGCGCTACGGGATTGCCTTGGATTGGAATCAGCATGTCTTTCGTCCATATGCTCCACTGCGTGCCTCTTAAACTTCCAATCCAATTTCCAAGCCTCACTTTCTGCAAATTGACAGTTTGTGGATGTCTGTTTAGGGTTCTCTGTTTGGGGTGCCCTTCTCAGACTTGTCACCACTTCTCATCTTTCTCATTCACTTTCCGAGTGGCGTGCTGCGGGGCAGGCATGATGGCATCCTAAAGCGTTTTGTGTGGGTACACGTGAACACTAGAACCTTTCGCATGATGTGTGTAATACAAAGGAGATTCAGCTGCCTCTTGCAAGGGTAAGAAGTCCATGAGATGGGTACTGAATGATCACTCTGCTTCACCATACATTGATGGGACAACTGCCCTCCCATTCCTCTAATCATGCCGTGTGGACCTGCAGCGTGGGTGTGGGACCACACCAGGTTCCAAAGGAGGAGCTGGCAAGGAGCTTGGGTGCCACAGGATCCTCAGTGAAGTGAGTGACGTCACACGGGCAACCTTTCCGAGAGCGAGAATTGCCAGAGGATCGAGATGCGTCACGATCGGCAGCAAAGTGAGTGGCGTCACCGTTTTGGAACCTTTCTGAGAGTGTGAATTGCCAGAGGGTCAGGATGTGGCGGGATCATCAGGGAAGTGAGTGGCGTCGCCGTCTTGCAACCTTTCTGAAGAGCGTGAATTGCCAGAGGATTGGGATGCGGCGGGATCGTCAGTGAACTGAGTGGCATCACCCCGGGCAACCTTTCTGAGAGCGTGAATCACTGGAGGATCAGAATGCGGCTTCGTATCCAGTGTGCATGTGGCCTTGATGCTTGTCCAGGAGCCAACGGCGGTTAGACTCAGCTTTCCTCTGAGATGCACTCCATGCTGAGGGTGACTCTAATGCAGCAGCACGCTGAACCAACGGAAATCGTGCGCGCGGTTGGCAACTTCTGGAACCAACTGTAAGACGTCTATGCAGGTGTGTCAAGTTGGGAAGGGATAATGTCGGGGAGGACAGGACGTGAATCGTGGCCGCTTGGCACAGCAAGTGTGACATTGATATGTGATGTATAGTGCAGGGGAGACGTGTTTGATCCTTGTAAGTTGCAACGTGGATGGTTATTCAAAAATATTTGAAGTGAATGAATAAATAGATAAGAAATCAATCAAATAAGCAGGTGGAAGTTAAATGTGGAAGACATTTGTAAGCTGCAACATGGATGGCTATAGGGATTCTGTTCCGCTCTGACTAAATGAAGTAAAACCGGTCTAAATGATGAGCCCAGTTTTCTGGTCAGTTAAGAGTGGGGACTAGGGAACTGGAGGATTGGGCCCGGTTTTGGGCCCCAGCCCATGAAACAGCGGGTGGTACTGGGACTCTGTTTCACAAAGATTTGAAGGTTGAGGTAATTGATAGGTTCTTTGGTATTTATTTGGGTACGTAAGTTTGGATTTAGGTACCAATGGGCTAGATTTGCTGGGCTTTTATGTCTATTTAATATTTATGTCTATTTATGAGCCAGTTGAGTAGAACAACAAGGGAGTATGCTCAGTACGGCTTTCTTAAGGGCTATTTGCTGCAGCTCCTGTAACTGAGCATCTGCTACTGGTGGGTGGTCCGAATACAATGGTTAGACCCATGAATTGATTCCTCTGGGGATGACCTTATTATGTCCAATGCTCGATCCTTGCGCACAGTTTCTGGAGTAATATGGACCATTATAAATTTACAGATGTTTTCATATTATCCTGTTGAAACAAATGGAGCCAGACTTGGTTCTTGGCAAGGGAGTGAGGGGGACATCTATCAGGGGCCCAGCTTAGACCTTTTTCAATGAAATTGCAACTGTGGCCCTGAGGTCAGGGTATGCTTGTATCATCCCAGAGTTGAAGCTTTTTTTGCAACTGAGATGTCTTCTCTCTCTTGAAAAGGAACAAAGGGTTTGATGATCAGATAACTGACTCTCTATCCGACTGCTTTTTGTTTTTTCTTATTTCCCCCCCCAAACTTGCACATCTAAAAAAGGGCGACAGCATTGAGATATCATCGTCAAAGTGACCGGCCCCAGGTATTTATTACAAAAGCTGGAAACCGGGTTCAGCTTCCCTCACATCCCTGGTACTCACACCACGCCTCTCCCTATTTTGGCCGGTAGATTCCGCGATAACGGCATATTGATTGTTTCCTTCTCTAAACGATGTACCAATGCTCTGACCCTGTTTTGCGCCTGTGCCATCTACTCTTTCTGTGCTTTCCTGATGCCTGACAGCATTTACTGCTTCCTCTTTGGACGGATGTCAGATTCTTTAGAATCTTTACTCTACATGGCACCAATCCTGAGGTTGAATCCTGTGTCCCTTGTCTCCGTGGTACTCTCTATCCGACTGTTGTTGTTCTTTCTTCCCTTTTTTTCCATTTCTTTTTTTGCGCAGGGGGTGTGCTAGTCTTCTCCTCATCGTTCCAAGTTCAAGTCCTTTCTCTGTTTAATAGTGTTTATGCATGTCATCCGTGCGCAGGAGGCATGCTCATCTTCACTGTATCGTTCTAATTTTCTGTTTTCCCAAGTCTTCATTTTTTCAACCTTTTTCCACTGAAGCAAGTGCAGAGTCCAAGGCACATAAAATATGTGACGTGCCATTTATGTACGAGGCCGATTTCAGTTCTCCTTTTGGTCCCTTTGGATGAGTTTTTAATACTGTGTATTGTTGACTAGGAAAAAAAAATTCAGTTTTGTAGACTAGGGAAAAAATATCTTTTTTTTCAGTGTTCCAATTTCAGTTTTGTAGACTAGGAATTTTTTTTTTTTTTGTTTTGGTCCTTTTGGATGAGTTTTTAATACTGTTTATTCAACTTTATTGTTGGAAAGCCTTTCTGGAGAGCTTACCCTTAGAAGAGGTAGGAGCAATTTTTGGGTGAAACAACCAGCTTGACCTGAAGGCTGATTTCTGTACTCCACAAGGAGTTTTTTTTTTTGTTTAGGATTAGATTTCTTGTTGGAAAGCCTTTCTGAAGATTGCCCTTGGAAGAGGTAGGCGCAATTTTCGGGTAAAACTACCGCCTTCACTTGAGTAGAATGCCCGGTCGTTGTAGCTGTATTTTGGGGCCAACTTTCAGTCCTGGTACAGCTTTAATGACCGGGCATTCTATTCGGGGGAAGACGGTAGGTGCATTCACTTTTCTGCATGCAGGTTGGGAAAAGAGGTAACGGTACATGCATGCACACAACTTTTGAATGTTCTCCCCCCCCTCCCTTCTCTTCTGCGTCTCCTTCTTGCAGCCCTTCATTTTCCTCGTTTTGTGTTTCCTTGTGCCTCATTGGTTGTGCATAAGTTGGTCGGACCCTGGCATGGAGTTGGGGGCAGTGAACCTCGTGCAACCTTCCTGTCATCTTCATCTTTCTTTAACCTGTTATACCACCTGCCCTTCTCTGTTGCTCCTTGCCCTGCTGGTAATACATGCCCCTGCCCTCGCCTTGGCATCTGCAGCAAACTCCATATATTTATTTCCTCTCCCCCCCTTCTCTCCCTCTGAGCACGACGACAACACTATAGGTATTGCTGGATTACACAACCAGGTGCTGAATAGGCTTGACATCTAGCTTCCCAAGGGCGCCCAACCGGGCGCCGAGTGCCCCAGGCACCCTGTCCGGGGTGGGATCTCACCCAGGGTAACCCCGGCATGAAAAATATCCACTTTTTTTTTTTTTTTTTTTTTTTTGCTGTCAGGGTCTTACTGCGCTTTGCACGTACTACTGAAATCCAGGCTCTTTTTTCTTTTTGCTACATGTGAAATTATGTGTACTGAAGGGTGGAAGCAAGAGGGGAAGGAGGTAGGAGGGAGGCAATGGAGAGGGAGGGAGGAGGGAGGCGATGGAGATGGAAGGAGGCGGGAGGAGGCAAGGTATGGCAGAGTAGTGAAAAGGGAGGAGGAAGGCGATAGAGATGGACGGAGGGAGGAGGCGAACGACAGGGAGACTAAGCACACTAAGTGGCTAGGAGTGGGCTACTAAGCGTGCCCAAAAAAGACAAGAAGAACGAAGAAGACGAGGAAGAGGAGGAAGAGGAAGAAGACGAGGAAGAAGAAGAAGAAACAAGGAAGACAAAGATGAAAGAAAGAAAAAGAATTGGACTTCAGAAGTGAAGTAAGAATAGAAAGTTAGTAGAAACGAAGAGGAAGAGAAAGGAGAGTAATAAAAAGAAGAAACAAAAAAGAAGACAAGTCCTTCGGGACATCTGTTAAAATTGGAACGCTACAGAGAAGATTAGCATGGCCCGTGCGCAAGGATGAGGCACAAAAACCGAGAAATGGTCCGAATTTTATTTTATTTTTTTAAAGAAAGATGACGACGATGACAAAGAAGAAGAAGAAGAAGAAGAAGAAAGACTAAACAAGAAACAGAGAAAAGAAAACTGACCTTCGCTTCATTCACGATGATGGCCTTACTTCGCTTGGCACGGTGGTCTTCGATGGCAGAGGTGACTATGGCCCGCCGAGGAGCTTGCAAGGCAGAGGTGACGATGGTGGCTCCAGCGTGACGACAACTGCCACGCGCGATCAGGCGGGGTGGGCAGGGCATGACTGGGGAGACAATAGAGTGGGGGGACAGACCACAGGGTTGGGCGCGGCAGGCAGGTTTCAAATTTGAAACCTGGATCTGCCCCACACGCCGATTTGGGATGGTTGGCAGCCTAGATCGCAAAACACAAAAAAAAGTGGAATGGGGTCCTACCAGTCCCAAAGGAAAGGAGCACCACCACCAGATTTTTGTTTCGCCTCCGTGGAAAAAAAAAAAATTTGAGGCCGTTGGACCTCGGCACTGGGGAGGCCCGGGAGGCTGACCGTGCGGGTCGCCCGGTTGAGCGCCCCGGGTGTCATTCTGGGTGCCGGTTTGTACCCTGCGCGCCCGGATGGGAAAGCTAGCTGGGAAGGACCGGGAGGCTGACTGGGCGGGTCGCCCAGCTGAGCGCCCCGGGTGTCATTCTGGGCGCCGGTCAGTACCCCACGTCCCCGGATGGGAAAGCTAGCTCGACGTGCCTCAAGTGAGATGGTGAGGAGACGATGCTGGCGGGTTCCCTGCACAGGGCTATGGTGCGTTCATGTTGTTAAGGTAGGACTGTACAGTAGGATGCTGGATGAGTAGTAGTGGAGACTGGAAAAAATGTGGCGATGACGATGATGATCATCATCTTCCTTGATCTTACTGTTGTCACTTATGTTATCTAATTTTCGGCTGAGTGAAGACGGCCCCCGGCTTGTCTCGGCCGGTTGGGCCTGAGGGGGGCGCCCGGGTAAACCGGGCGGGCCAGAAAACCGCCAAGAATGTTTTTTTTTTTTTTGAAACCGGGGTCGTTCCACCCTCGGCGAGAGGACCCCGAATCTGCAATAACATTTTTGTTTTTGGGGGGGGG